AGTACTATATTGAAAAGGAGTGGAGAAAGTGGGCATCCTTGTCTTGTTCCTGTGTTTAGTGGGAAAGCTTTCAGCTTTTCTCCTTTGAGGATGATGTCTGCTATGGGTTTTTCATAGATAGCTTTTATTGTGTTGAGAAATGACCCTTCTATGCCGATTTTGCCCGAGAGTCTTGATCATGAAGGATGTTGTCTCTTATCAAATGTTTTTTCTGCATCAATTGATATGACCATATGGTTTTTATCTTTCTTCCTATTAATATGGTGTATTACATTTATGGTTTTGCGTATGTTGAACCAACCTTGCATTCCTGGGAAAAAGCCTACCTGATCATTATATATAATCTTTTTTATTAGATGTTAGATACGATTTGCTAGTATCTTGTTGAGAATCTTCACGTCTATATTCATCAGAGATATTGGTCTATAGTTTTCCTTCCTTGTCCTGTCCTTATCTGTTTTAAGGATAAGGGTGATAGAGGCTTCATAGAATGAATTAGGGGGAGATTCACCCTTTTGGATATTTAGAAATAACTTGAGCAGAATGGGGGTTAACTCTTCTTTGAAAGTTTTGTAGAGTTCAGAGGTGAATCCACCAGGGCCAGGGCTTTTCTTTGTTGGGAGGTTATTTATAACCGATTTGATCTCCTGGCTTGTTATGGACCTATTCAGACTTTCTATATCCTCCTGGCTCACTCTAGGCAGATTATACATGTCCAGGAATTTGTCCATCTCATCCAGATTATCTTGTTTCTTGGCATACAGATGTTTATAGTATCCTCTAATAATGTTTTTTATTTCTACTATGTCTGTTGTTATTTTGCCTGCTTCATTGCAGATTCTGTTAAACTAAGTGGTGAGGGGTCAGCAGATGGCATAGTGGTTACATCACTGGACTCCCCCATGGCCGACCATGGTTCAGATCCCTGACCTAGTGGCTCAGAAATCATGCTGGGCACGTGTGCGTGCGTGCCCAAGATCCTGGGAGGAGAATGGAGGAGAAGAGATTGCATCGTGGCCATCCCCCAGGGGCGATTCCTCCCTTTCCCTCTCACTGTCTCTCTCTCTCTCTCTCTGATGAGTGCACATGCCCTAAGGCATAAATGTCTTTTAAAAAAAAAAACTGGGACCAGCAGATGGCATAATGGTCATGTCACTGGACTTCCACATAGTTAACCGCAGTTCAAATCTCAGACCCAGCTGCTTAAAGCTCTCACATGCGTGTTTGTGTGTGCCCAAGGTCCCGAGAGGAGAATGAAGGAGAAGGGATTGCAGCATGGCCATCCCTTTGGGGTGTGACTTCTCACTATCTCTATCTCTTCAGTGAGTGTACATGCCCTACAGCAAAAAAATCTCAAAAAAACCCCAAAAACCTGAGTGGTGAACACTGGTCAGCTAACCTCTCCTCCACCTGTTCCCTCTGAAGTGCCGGCATGTCTTGTACTTAGCGGGTACCCGGGAAGGGGGCCAGTGTGATCAGGGACTGCCGTCCTCGGGCTACTTTCCTGGTCTGCGAGACTGCAGAGAAGCCCACGTGGAAATGGCAAGGAGCCCAACCCTCATAACGAGGCTTCATCTCCACCTTGCCTGTCGGAGCTGAGACTTTTCTCAGTGTTACCAGTTCTGGTCTCCGGATACGACATCTGTGGCCCTCGGGGACTCGAAATAGATACCCAGGAAGTTGGAGCCTGGTAGTGTCTTTGGGTGGGTTCTGCTGGCTGTGAGAGGTTGTGAAGGTGTCTGGTCACGCTATGAAAGGTGGATTCAAGCAATGTGTCTGTCCCCTACAGCCACGAGGAGTGGAGCCAGGTGCAAGGCCAGGAGGAGGAGGTGGCTGTCACTGAGCAGGAGCTGGAGCTCATCAAGGAGAGGGAGACGGCAATTCGGCAGCTGGAGGTGAGTGCCTGGTTGTGCTTTCTGCTCCACTCCGTGTGCAGGCGTCCAGATGCATCACCTGCAGGCCGCGTGGTCACGAATGCGCACATGGCATCCCCGTGTGCTGTGCAGTCTGCCTGCTGCAGTACGGCCGTGGACCGTCGGAGTGCCGTGGCGAGGGTCCTAGCCCCAGTGCTCGTGGGTGGCCAGGCCTCCTTTGGTTGCCCTGCCCCATGTAGTCTCCAGGCTCTCCATGTAAGCTTGGAGGACAGAGCCCGGCAGACACGTGCTGCTGCTGGGACTTACCCTCCGACCCCAGGGGCACCTCACAGTTGGGCCGGCTCTACAGAGCCCCTTGCACATTCTGAAGGCAAGCCGGAAGCCTGCTCCACCTTTGTGCTTTCTGAAGTCCAGTCCTGGTCTGTAGAGCTTACCCCTTCAGCAAGCCAAGGGAATGGGGACAGCTTTTGAGGTGCGGGATGAGGTTTTGCTGACCTGTCCGAGCTTGCCCGGTGACAGAACGTCCTTGAGCCTGCCCGGGTCGCCTCCCCATGGGGATAGAAGACTGCCACTGCTGGGGTAGACGGGGTGAAGGGGCCGGGGCCTCCTTGACTCCGTCTGCAGGGTCGCTCTGACTCCTGACAGCCCCGTAGGAGCTGAAGTCCCCAGCCCTCCTCTCCCACTGCCCACTCGAGCGAGCTGTGTCAAAGTCCTGGGTCTAACAGGTTAAAAGCGGGCAAATGCGTACAATTCTAAATGGGCCAGCCTAATACATCACAATTCCTGGGTCGGCCCTGACACGGGAGCTTGCTCAGAGTTCTCTAGATGACTGCTATGCAGTCAGGACTGAGACCCGCTGTCCACGAGGAGGCCGTCCGCCTCAGTGCCTTGTGATCGTCCTGGCATCCCCAGAGTCACCCTGCCTATCCGGTGCTGCTCCGCACACATGGCTCTCGCACACCAGGAAAAGGTGATGCGGAGGGGAGTGAGGCTGGAGCTAAGGCGTGCAACTTACCGTAAGGGACACAGCAAGCCCCGTCACTTCAGCAGGTGCGATCTGGTTGCTTCAGCCTGGACTTAGCGTCTGTGTCCAGCCATTCCCCACCTGACTGGCTCTGCCTGGGCTCTGCTGCTTTCTGCTTGGGCAGCTCTCCTTGGCTTTACAGTGCAGTGCGAGGCCTACCGTCCAGCAGCCTCGCCTTCGGCAGCCTTCAGACCACACACTTAGCCGTGGCTCAGTCCTCTCCCTGCAGCGCCCTGGCTCCTCCTCTGTGTGCGGGACTCTACCCCACCCCTGCCCAGTTCAGCTGCATCTGCTGCCTGCCCGCACTGCAGCTCCAGCTGGTGGGAGTGGGGTTGGCAGCACTGCCGGTCCAGGTTGTGTTTCTAGTCGCCTTCCCAGCCTGGACGGGACATCTTCGGACAGACGTCAACAGCTTCTACTTAATGCAGCTCTCACATTCCCCGGGGGTGCTGGCAGGAGGCGTGCTATCTGGAGGCCCTGGAGTCCCACATGGCCCGACCATGGTTGGAGTCCCAGACCTGGCCGCTTGCTTTCTTGCTTTCCCTTTCTTTCTGTCTCTGGTCAAATTTAAAAAGGATAATAAGAAATGGAATTAAAAATAAATAGTTATTAAAGGAAGCTCTACTTGCCCTACTCTAAAAATTTTTTTTAAATTCCCTGGGAACGTGCCCTATACAGGACCCTCCGAGGGTCAAATCTCCCTTGCCCTTCTGCCAGTGCCGGCCATTAGCTGCTGCCCATGAGTGGGTAAAAACCCAGGTGGGGTCTGTCCGTGACACTCTTCCACCACTGCCGGATGGCACACGCAGTCAGGTGCTGGTTCAGCTCTACCCTCCTTACTCAGAGTAGTGCCTCCAAACAGGTTCCCACTGGCCTGCAGCTGTCCATCACACACCAGGCAGCTCTTGTGCTCAGTCGAGAGCTGTTCCTGGGGCACTGTCCAAATGACAGCAGTACCAGCTGCTGCTCACACAGCTCCAGTCGGGTGGGAAAAAGGGCTTCCTGCATGGGTCTCTCTCCCTCCCCTTCCTCCCAACTAGCATGGGAGCGTCTACACTGTCTAAGCTCTCTCCACCCAGGTCTCATTAGCATTGGGGTTTTGCGTTAGAGACCAGTCCAGGCTCCAGTGTGGGGAGCTGGTCCGAGCCAGCACTCCAGGGTCTGCTTTGTGCTGCGTGGCTGGGGCCATCTTACCAGTCACCAGGCCTAGTCAGTGTGGCTTGAAGGGCAGATCTATCTTCCTTCTACCTTCAGTACTGGTGATAGACCACGTGATAAAGCGTACACCACAGAGCCTTAAACACACGTGTTCCCTGACACGTGTCTCAAGTGGGCGTCTGCTCACTTGCTGCCCCTGGCTCATCACTCCTGTCTTCCCTAGGCCGACATTCTGGACGTCAACCAGATATTTAAAGACCTGGCCATGATGATCCACGACCAAGGTGATCTGATTGGTATGTATTATCAATATCTCAGCCTCAAGGGGAGTCAATAGCACTCGTTAAGAAGTGGGTAAACCATGTCGTCTGCAGAATTCAAGTTTAGAAACGCCGCTTATAAGATGTCTAAGTTCCCAGGACCAGCAGTTGGCGTAATGGCTATGTCGCTGGACTCCCATGTAGTCGACCGTGGTTTGAGTCCTGGACCCGGTGGCTTAAAAACTCGCGCCGGACACATGTGCGTGCGTGCCCAAGATCCGGAGAGGAGAATGGAGGAGAAGGGATTGTGGCGTGGCCATCCCCCCTGGGGGGTGATTTCTTGCTTTCTGTCTCTCTGTCTCTGACGAGCGCACTCACCCTGTAGCAAAAACCTCTCAAAAAAAAAGATGTCTAAGTTCCCTTTCCGGCTCTTGTGTTGGCACGGGTGGACCTGACAGTGAGGCCTTTGTGGCTGTTCAGCCCCTTCACTTGCCGTAGCTTCTGGGCAGGTCTTGGTTTGCAGAATCTGCCGCCAGTCTCCCAGCTTTTATCTCTAGAACGTGCACAGCTGTGGTGTTAGTAACGCTTTCCTAAAGCTTGTTTTTGCTTTATTTATTTATTTTTGAGAGAGATATTTTTGCTATAGGGCGCAGAGAGACAGAAAGCGAGAAATCGCCCCTTGGGGGGAATGGCCACACCGCAGTCCCTTCTCCTCCATTCTCCTCTCGGGATCTTGGGTGCACATGCGCCCAGTGTGTGTTTAAGCCACCAGGTCCAGGACTCGAAACGCGGTCGACTACATGGGAGTCCAGCAACATAGCCATTACGCCAACTGCTGGTTCCTCTTTTCTTTTTTTTTTTAAAGAATTATTTTATTTAATTTCATTTATTCATTCATTTATTTTAATTTGATCAGAGAGGGAGGGAAAGAAAGCAAGCCACCAGGTCCAGGACTCGAACCATGGTCGGCTATGTGGGAGTGTCCAGCACCTTAACCACCACGCAACCTGCTGGTCCCAATTGTCCCTCTTTTCAAAAGCTTTTTATGTGGAAATAATTTCAAGTTTACAAGAAGTTGCAAAAATAAAAATACTGCAAGGAGCTCCTTTAACTGTGGCCCCATGCTCCTGCTGACACCCTATTCTGTGTTCACTGTGCACCCTTCTCTATGAGGGCTTGCCGAGTTGATGCAGAACGCTCTTGTCAAACCCGGCCCAGCCTTGGTGGCACAGCTGTCAGGCCTTCCACGCCGCAGTGCTGGAGCCATGTGCTGACCCCTGGCTCAGACCCCTCACCTGGTCAGCCTGAAACATGCCGGGCTGGGGGCTGGGGGCTGGGAGAAGGGGCCCATAGCATGACGAGCTTGTGGGGTGGCCCCACACTTCTATCACATGCGGACACGTGTGTTCTGCATGAATAAAAGTGAACTTTATTACAAAAGAAAAAAATATACGTAGGTTTTTTAAATTCTTTGGACCAAAATAAACATGTACTTTGATTCCATTTTGAATCTTGTGTGTGCATGTAGACATAATTTTTTTCTGAACTGATATCAGGTGAGTTGCAAAGTTAATAGCCCCATGCTCCCAAATACTGGAGTGTTTATTTCCAAAGAATAGAACTATTTTTCTTTTTTTCAGAACTATTCTCTTATCAAGGAAGTAACTTTTGATTTAATGGAGTAGTTGGAGTGGTGAAACCAGGACCCATAACATCAGAAATCTGTGGGGCCAGCAGGTGGCGTGATGGTTAGGGGTGCTGGACTCCCACGTGGCTGACCGTGGTTCAAATCCCAGACCTGGCAGCTTGCTTTCTCACTTCCCCCTTCTCTCTCTCACTCGGTCCCTCTCTGATCAAAATAAAATAAATAAATAAAAATAAAATCATTCTTTAAAAAAAATTAGAAATCTGTTCCATTTGTAGTCATGAAATATCTGAGCCTATTAAAACATCTGCTGTCACCTTCTTTGCAGATAGCATAGAAGCCAATGTGGAGAGCTCAGAAGTGCATGTCGAAAGAGCCACTGATCAGCTACAGCGAGCCGCCTACTACCAGGTAAAGCTGGTACCGAAGGTGGTGACTTGGCACTGAGGGTCCTGGGGCCATGGGAGCACACCAGCATGCTGAGGACAGCTGCTGCTTTCTGCTGGGACTGAAGCTGGAAGGGCCGGTCAGGCTGCAGTCCGCTTCACTGAGTATCTCCCATCGCAGAGATCTAGTCTGCACACCCTGAGTAAACTTACACAGAAGCCTCTTCGTGGCAAGGCTAAGCCCGCGGGCCAGCACAGTACCTAAGTCTGGGGTGAGGCTGGTTTCATTTCCTAAACAAGCTGTGTTTCAGTCAGGACACCCATTGAACATCGCCGTGGCGGGCCACGTGGTCAGCATCTCTGCTGTCCGGGTGTGCACGGGCAGGAGTCGGGACTGTCTGGCCCTCATGCATGTTGGCTGGACCTCAGTTTCTGACCTACAGGGGCCGTCTCGGTATGGAGACCCTGGGAACGAGTCTGTCCTCCTTTCCCCTCAGTCTGGCATTGTGTGGATTTTTTAAAATAAATAGCATTTCATTCATTTTACACATTCTTAGGATAGCTATATTTTAACTAGAAATGCTTTTAAAGAAATAGGCACTTAATAAGGTTTTCTTTAAAAACTGTGTGATGACTTTAGTGTCTATGGGGAAAGAATAATTAAGTGAATTTTATATATATCACTCAGTGCCATAGTATATGGGAATTAGATGTTTTTGGGGCTATTCCATGGCCCTGTGGTTTGGGCAGCTGGATCCCATGTTACTAAGCATGCATGTGTGTATCCAGAGTTCCAAAAGGAGGGAGAAATGGAGGGGAGGGTTTGTGGCGTGACTGTGCCCGAAAGTGCTCTCTTGCTCCTTCTTTCTCTCGCTGCCAAATGTATGTGCCCCCTGCAAAATTTTAAAAGACAGCACAGAGAGTGTGCAGTGTTTATGAAGAGCTTGTAATAGGACATGTTTGTTAAACATCAAGAAACAAATTAAGCAGCATAAGAGTGTGACCCCGGTTGTGTCAGATAACAAAACGCTTAGACAAAAGATTAGAGGAGTACGACCAAACGTCGTCAGTTTTATCTGTGGGTGATTATATTCTCCTGCTCTTTTACATGAACAAAACCATGTTTTGAAAGATGACACATGTGCGTGCCGGGAGAGGGAGAGGGCAAACGGGAACCTCTCATGGGGTGGTCACGCTGTGGTATTTCTTCCCTCTCCCTCCACAGCCACGTGGGAGCCAGTTACCCTTAACCCCCAGGCCACCAGCTGGCCCTGGAAACAGTTTTATGATAGGCATAAAACCATTCTTTAAATACACATGTACAAATAACTAACTTCATGGCAAGTAATGCTTAGTAGCATAGGCATGGCTCTTCTGCAAAACTGTACATGACCTGGAATTAAAACTTGCACTTCTGCCCAGCCCTTGTGACCTGATGTGAAAGGAGGCCTCCGCATGTGGGTGCATGGGCACATGGGTAGGGCTCACTCTGCATTTGAACGCAGCAGCTTTAGGAAGCTCTCTTGGAATCTTAGATATGAAAACTTCATCTGTTTCATGAGTCTTCTTACATATTTCTTTCCTCAGAAAAAGTCCCGCAAGAAGATGTGCATCCTGGTGCTTGTCCTGGCAGTGATCATTGCAGTCTTGGCCTTCATCTTCTGGCTGGTTTACAAATGAAGCGTGTCTGACCTTCTCCCACTGAGCAGTGTGAGGGCGAGCACCTGTGGGAAGTCTGCCAGAGCAGGCGGGTCACAAGAACGGAGCTTGCACCAGAACTCCTCGTCACGTAGGTAGAGACTGACTGCGGCCTCGGCCGTGGAGCTGTTGACCCGTGGGCAGTATTTATCAATCTACATGTACGTCGTATTGACTCTTAAATGAGGTGTTAACTACTGTGGGGTTTATTTTCTCTTCTATTCTGGTTTTTCTCCATCCCAAGTGTGTACTGAAAATTCCATTCTAGAAATTTTTTGACAGGTGACACTACAGTCTTGAAATATGTGTATACAAAACTCACCTTTTTACTAGCAGCTGAGATAGGATCACTCTCTGGCACCCCGCATACTGGAGTCTATCAGGAACCATGTAATGGCCAGCGGTTTTTATTTAACATTTTAATTTGAGATTCTCAGACGTCTGTTCTGTTTTGAAAGATCTGGGCACTTGAACTGGACAGTGAAAAATTGCGCGTGGTCCCCGTGAAAGGCAACACACTGGAGCTGGCCCGGCGTTGGGCTGCATGTCACTTACCCGGCTGCAAGGCCCCGTCGCCATGGCAGCACATGTGCACACACACTAAGCCATCAGGCTCGTTTTGTACAGGTCCGCTTTATAGCACTGTAGTCTGGGCCGCTGCCCCACCCGTCTGCACAGGAAGGGGATTAGGTACAGTATGCTTTTGGAAGGCAAGTAGGAGCTGTTGGCAATGATGACTGTCGTCATTCACACATGGCTCTGCATTCCTGGTGGTGGTGATGTGGCTGTCAGACGCACGCCCGTGCCCTTGAAGGGCTGTTGGGCATCGGATGGCAGGAAGACCGTAAAAGCTAGACTGAGCGGCGTGAAGCTCAGGCTGTGGACCCAGCAATAAAGCAGAGCAGAGGTTCATTTTTGTAAATGAGACTCATCTGCAGTAGTCCTGTTAGACTCATCCTAATTTACAAACAAGAGATCAATCTCCACGCACAGTTTTAGACAAAAAAAGTTCCAATAAAAGATTGCTGCTTTTAATATAAATGTTGTCCACGTCCCTTTTTCATGAGCCTGGAACAGTGTCAGTGCACCCTCCGGCTCCCCTGAGATAGATATTTACGTCTACTCCCCCTTTCCCGACAGTGCCACTCCGTTTCTTGCTAAACTAATATGAAAATAGGAAAACAGATTTTTCACACTCCTACTTTTCCACGTTTGATGTAAATAAACATGTAAAAACCTTCTTGAGTAAGTTTTTGAGTTAATATCCTGAGATAGGTGTCAGGTAACGGTGCTGTCGGGGGAGCAGCTGCGAGACCTGGAAGAGGACTGGACACTCAGTAAGGGCTGATTTGGGGCCAGAAGAGGTGTTGCTGCCTTTCTTAGGAATAGAGGACAGAGGTGTAAGGAGTGGCACGGTGGCCCACGCAGCATCTTCAGAGGAAAACGTCTTTTTCTGTGGTCACTGCTCTTTGATTCTAAATAAGGTTGGACTTGGATACATCATTTGTAACATCCAGGAAAGAAGAAAATCTTAGTTGTGCAAAACCATTTGAATTTAAAGTAACAGCCATCGTTCTGTTCTGTAACCGTGCATGACCCAGGGTGGTCGTATTGATGGTCATGGGTGCAAAGAACTCAGCCTGAAATGAGAATGGTCTAGGATCTGTGGTAGTCGCCAGAGAGGCTCTTCCGGGTGGTCCTAGTAGACGCATCACTTAACCCTCCTTCTCTGTGCTTTGGGTATCTTTGAGGGCACCAAGGTCTAGGATGGTGCCGTTTTTAATTATAGCTTCATGTAGAAACTTTGGAAAAAGAGACTTTTAAAAATTACTGATACTTTAGTCCCCCCCACCCTAGGGTTCTTTTATTTATTTATTTATTTATTTTGGCTATAGAGCATGTGCACTAACCAGAGACAGTGGGAGGGAAAGTAAGAAATCACCCCCCAGGGTGAGGGCCATGCTGCAATCCCTTCTCCTTTCTTCTCTCAGGATCTTGGGGGCACATGTGCTCACATGCGCCCACACACACACAAACACACCAGGCATGTTTTTCAAGCCTCCAGATCTGGGACTTGAACCATACAGCTGACCGTGTGGGATCCAGTGTCTTAAGCACTATCCCACCTGCTAGCCCACCACCTTAAGATTCTGGCATGGGATTTTTTTTTTTTTTTTTTTTTTAGAGATTTTCACTATAGGGCGCATGCGCTCGCCAGACAGACAGAGACATAGAGACAGAAAGCGAGAAATCACCCCCCAGGGGGGATGATCACGCCACAATCCCTTCTCCTCCATTCTCCTCTCGGGATCTTGGGCACGCACGCACATGTGCCCGGCGTGAGTTTTAAGCCACCGGGTCTGGGACACGAACGGCAGTCGACTACGTGGGAGTCCAGCGACATAGCCATTACGCTAACTGCTGGCTCCCATGGCATGGGAATTTTTCACAGTGCTGGGTAATTCTAATGCGCAGCCATGACTGAGAACCACTGGTTTGGAAACACCATCTAGGGCCCAGTCTGGTGGTGCAGCTAGCAGCAACCTGAATAGCAGTCCTGGAGGCCACATCACCAACCACGGGTGTGGATCTCTGAGCTGGTCTGAAAATACACCTGATGAGCTGGAGCTCTGGGAGAGGGTTTTGCAGTGTGAGACCTTAGCAAGGGTGTCCCCTTGATTGCAGTGTGCCCTCTATCATAAGTAAAATAAATTTTGGGAACCAGCATACGCCCTATAGCAAAAATCTCTCTCAAAAAAATTAATAAGTAAAATAAATTTTCAAACAGTCAGTAAAACAAGACCAGCAGATAGCGTAATGGTTACATCGCTGGACGTCCATATAGTCAACAGCTGCAGTTCAAGCCCTGGACCCAGAAGCTTAAATCCCATGCTGGGCGTCTATGCCCAAAATCTCGATGAAAATGGAGAAGGGATCACACACAGTACGTCGATCCCCTCTGGGTGGGGGGTGATTTCTTGCTTTCTATCTCTGTCTCTGTGGTGAGCACATATGCCCTATAGCAGATCTCAAAAAAAAAAAAAAAAAAAAATGGGACCAATAGTTGGCGTAATGGCTATGTCACTGGACTCCCATGTAGTTGACCACAGTTTGAGTCCCAGATACAGTGGCTTAGCCTCACTCCAAGCGCATGTGCATGCGTGACCAAGATCCCGAGAGGAGAATGGAGAAGGTATTGCGACATGGCCATCCCCCCTGGGGAGTGATTTCTTGCTTTGTCTCTGTCTTTCTGGCAAACACACGTACCCTATAGCCAAAAAAAATCTCGGGGGGAAAAAATATATATATAATAAAACTGTGACTACAGATAATGTAGTTACATCGCTGGACTCCCACATAGTCCACCATGGTTTCAGTCCTGGATGTGGCAGCTTAAAACTCACATGGGTGCATGTGCGTGTGTGCCCCAAATCCCGAGAAGAATGGAGAAGGGATTACAGCATGACCATGCCCCCATGGGTGAATTCTCACTTTTGTCTCTCTCTGGCAAGCGCATGTGCCTTATAGCAAAAATCTCTAAAAAATAGGGAACCAGCAGTTAGCATAATGGCTATGTCACTGGACTCCCACGTAGTCAACCGCGGTTCGCGTCCCGGACCTGGTGGCTTAAAACTCACGCCAGGCGCGTGTGCGTGTGTGCCCAAGATCCCGAGAGGAGAATGGAGGAGAAGGGATTGTGGCGTGACCATCCCCCCGGGGGGTGATTTCTCGCTTTCTGTCTCTATGTCTCTCTCTGTCTCTTTGGTGAGTGCACGCGCCCTATAGCAAAAATCTCTCCAAGAAAAAATATCTCTAAAAAATAATTATACAAGTGTAGTTTAAAAAAGTGAAAACCTTTTTTAAAGGTTTTAAAGGGCCAGAGAGTGGAGTGGTAATTAAGGCACTGGATTCCCACATGGCCAAGTGTGGTTCAAGTCCTGGACCTGGTGGCTTGAAAATCCTAATAAATAGATAATAAGTAAATGTTACAAAAAGAAAAAAAGAGACTACACTGGGGGGGGGGGGCCCGGGGGGGAGTGGTAATGCCATTGGACCCACATGGGTGGGAAAGGTTCCAGGTTAGTGTCCTGGGACTCCTTGAGCGTGCCACGTACACACACACGTACCCATGATCCAGGCCTGCAGAGTCTGCCCACAGTGGGACGTGGTCATACCTCAGTCCTTTTCCCACCATTTCTTTTTCCCGTCAGGATCCTGGACACGTGCACCTGGTGTGTGGGGTTTTTTTTTTGGAGAGGTTTTTGCTACAGGGCGCGTGCACTCGCCAGAAAGAGAGAGACAGAGAGACCGAAAGCGAGAAATCACCCCCCAGGGGGGATGGTCACGCCGCAATCCCTTCTCCTCCATTCTCCTCGGGATCTCGGACACGCACGCACACGCGCCCAGCGTGAGTTTAAGCCACCAGGTCCGGGACTCGAACTGTGGTCGATTACATGGGAGTTCAACCACATAGCCATTACACCAACTGCTGGTCCCCCGGTGTGTTTTGAAAACCACCAGGGCTGGAACTTGAACTGCGGTCACCTTGTGGGATTTGGCTTAACTGCGGAACTACAGAGCCAGAGCTGTGACCCTTAATTTTGACAGTGTAGTATCTAATTAATAGACTTGTAGGGACCACCAGATGCCATAGCGGTTATGTCACTGGACTCCTATGTAGTCGACTGTCGTTAGAGTATTCGAGCTGGAGGCTTAAAACTCACACCACGCGCATATGTGTGCATGCCTAAGATCCTGAGAGGAGAATGAAGAAGGAACTATAGTGTGGCCATCCCCTGTAGGAGGTGATTTTTCACTGTCTGACTCTCCGATGAGCTCAAGCATCCTATAGCAAAATCTCAGCCCAAAAAAATAGACGTGTAATATAATTTTTAAATTTGATCTATAATTAAGGACCAATTTCTACCCAGTCCATGGAGAGATAAAAAGTATATAGTGGGTTTTATGTATTTATTTAAAAGAAGTATTTATTGGGACCAGCAATTAGCGTAATGGCTGTATCACTGGACTCTCATGTAGTCGAACATGGTTCGAGCCCTGGACCCGGTGGCTTAAACTCACGCTGGGCGCGTCTGCATGCGTGCCCAAGATCCCAAGAGGAGAATGGAGGAGAAGGGATTGCAGTGTGGCCATCTCCCCGGGGGGGGAGGGGTGATTTCTCGCTTTCTGTCTGTCTGGCGAGCATACATGCCCTATATCAAAAACCTCTCCAAAAAAAAAAAAGTATTTAATTTCATTTTTAATTCCATTTGTTATTATTGTCTTTTTGTTTTATTTTGACCAGAGAGAGACAGAAAGGGAGAGAGAGAGAGAGAGAGAAAGCGAGGAAGCAAGCCACCGGGTTCAGGACTCAAACCGCAGTAGGCCATGTGGGAGTCTAGCGTACTTAACCAGAACACCACCTGCTGGACGAGGGGCAGAGACAGAAAGTGGGAAATCCCTCCCCACAGCAGCTGGCAGGTAGTATGCTGGATTCCCACATGGCCAACCAGGATTTGAGTCCTGGACTTGGCGGCTTCCTTTCTTGCTTTCCCTTTCTTGCTGTCTCTCTCTGGTCAAATTTTTTAAAAATTAGTACCAAATGGAATTAAATTAAAAAATAATTTTTAAAAAGAGAGAAATCACCCCCCCCCCCCCCCCGGTGGTATGGCCACACCACACACAATCCGTTCTCCTCCATTCTCCTCTTGGGATTTTGGTCACACACACGCACCCAGCATGAGTTATAAGACGCCAGGTCTGGAACTCAGACCACAGTCGACCACATGGGAGTCCAGTGACGTAACCATTACATTATCTGCTGGTCCCAATGGTGTACTTTTTTTATAGTTCCATCCGAGTTCGAGTTAATGTCTTTCCAACTTTTGGAAATGGCTACTTGAAGATTATAAAAATGAAAAAATAGCGGTTGAATTAAATTATTTGTATTTGTTACGGGGCACGTGAGCTTTCTGGTGGGGTGCAGGTGAGAAATCATGTCCATCCCCTCTGGGCGGTGATTTCTTGCTTTCTGTCTCTGTCTCTCTGGTGAGGGCATGTGCCCCCAGGGGGCATGACACTCTACAGTTCCATCACCTCCATTCTCCTTTCATGACTTTGAGCATGCATGCACACATACATTCCCAGCGTGGTTTTCAAGTTACTGGGTCTGGGACTTGAACTGTGCAGCCAGTTATGTGGGATCCAGCTGCCTTAACTGCCACGATACCTGGCTAGCCCAAAAAAAGTGGTGGCTTTAGATGTCAGTTTTAGTCTCCTTAGTTGGCAAAATAAAGTACACACCTTTGTGTTCCTGTGTTTTCCTGGCTCCCCCTTCCCTCAAATCTGATGCCCTCCTCAGGCTAACATGTACAACCAGCCGAGGCCAGGAAGAGCACTCTGGTGGGGAAGATAAAGGCTACGGAGGGCCCACCCTGGTGGCGAAATGGACTGCGGTGCAGAGGCCACAGGACAGACCCAGTGAGGGCTCCCCAAGTCAGGCTGGGGGCAAAAGATCCTGGAGGGCTGGGAAGGGGGACTGCAGCGTGGCAGGGCCCTGTCTTGGGTGCCTCTCTCATCCATGTTCGTGTTCGGTCATGAATGAAAGGCTGTGGAAGTGCTGTGCAAGCATCATTCGTGACATGAGCCCTCACCACCAACATGCAGCTCAGCTACGCCCAGGATACGCCCAGGATACGCCCAGGCACTGTGTGTCTGTACTCTCACATCAGGCTTCCATGTGATGGAGCTGGGGTCTGAACTGCAGCCGCAGACCTCAAGACTACACGGTCAGACATCATGCTTTGTCCGTGCATCTCTGACACAGGCTGTTCTGCTCAGCACGCCTTCCACGAGGTTGTCCTGCAGACCCAGGGAAGTGAGCATCTCTACTCCGCCTGTCATGAGCGCCTCTGTCAGCATCTATGACCTCTCATTTATCACCCTACTAAGTGCAGCCTCTTGCTGGTACTGTACACACACTTTTTTTTTCCGTGTCTCCATTCGACCACTTAGTTTTCTGGCATCGGTATGCTCCGAATGTTTAGAGTCCATTCGAATGAAGTGAAAGGCTAGGAGTCCATCTCCCTATTGAGATCCAAAGCTCACTGGTCTTTCCATTTCAGGTGGTTGATGGCTGGTTGCTGCTGTCTGGTTTGCTGGTCTGTGCTGACATCGGTGACACCCAAAGAGCGTTTCACTGTATAAGAGTTTAGTTCTGTGTTGGGTGCCATGACAGCAGAGCCAGTGTGAACACCAGCTTGCTGAAGAGGGAACATGGCCAAGAAGTGGAATATTACCCAGATAGGAATAGGGCGCAGTGCTGTCCTGGGTGTGTGGTCAGCATTAGAAGGACCACACAGAAGTTGGGAAATTGAAAAGCAAAGCCGACAAGGTTGTGTTACCAAGTCACTAGTAGCTAGACCTGGCTGCACCCCACCTTACACCTGAGGCCTGAAGGGAGAACAGAACCTCAAAGGACCAGTCTCTGTAGATGGCACGGTGGTTTAGGTGGCTGGATCCCACACGGCTGGCAAAAATTAGTATCTTTTTTCTGTTACACTCAAAACACTTTTGAGATTAATTCCTTCTCAAAAGCCACGTCCACAGGATTCTTTTGTTTTCTTGTAACCAAACCCAGAACTCGCATGTTTCCTGTCAGCCTAGTCTTGCAGGGCTGAAAAGGAGGATATTAGGACACCCGATCGGTATCTGACCAGCTGTCCTTGCTGGGTGAGGGATTCCCCAACCTACCGGGAACGAGTCCACTACAGAGATCCGCCCGCCGTCGAGATTTCTTAACGCGGTGGGCAGTTCCTGGGTTGGCAGAATTCTGCGACTGGATCTTTAAAAAGGAAAGGGCACTGCAGGTCAGATAACCCGTTTTCTACGAAAGCGAAAAACAGCCAGCTGCCCCAGAGGTAACTGCGATGCGGGGTCCACACTGCAGGGTCGGGTTCCGGGTGGTGTGCACCGGTGCCCGGCGGCCTGCGCGGGCGTGGGGAGGAGGCCGCCGGGACGCCACGTCCCCAGCCCTAGCCCGCCATTCACGCAGTGGGGAGGGCTGGTTCGCGCCGGCAGGGCCGCCCGAGCGGAGGCCTCCCTGGCGTGGGTCGGAACCGGGAAGCGGGCGGGCGCCGAAGCGGCCTGGGCACG